AAGGATCTTACAGACAACCCAGTCAGATGCCCTCATGTCACAAATAAGGTTGCCCTGCCTCCCAGATAGGGTATCCTTGTTCACGACCCAATCTTGATTAGAGGAGCATTGTAGGGGCTTCTCCCACTGCTCCACACTAGAAGGTAGTTCCGTGGGGTCCCAGAAGAATGCTGTGGTAGGCAGAATGATAATCTTCCAAAGATGTCCACACTCTTACACCTGGAAACTCTGAATATGTTATTTACATGGCAAGAGGGACTTTGCAGATGCGATTAATGTAAAGGGTCTTGAAATGGGGAGATTATCCTGGATTGTGTGGGTGAGTCAATCCAATCACAAGTCCTTAAAGGAGGGAGAGGAGGCAGAGGCTGAGTCAGAGAGATACAACGAAGGAAGAGGCAGAACAGAATCAAAATGTCAGAGGGTTTTGACCCACCCTTGCTGCTTTGAAAGTAGAGGAAGGGAGGCAGGGACAAGAAAGGCAGACAGCCTCTAAAAGCTGGGAATGGCCCCTAGGTGACAACCAGCAAGGAAACAGGGATCTTGGTCCTACCGCTACGAGGAACTTTATTCTGCCAACAACCAGAATGAGCAAGGGAATGGAGTCTCCTCTAGAATCCCCAGAAAGGAGCACAGTCCTGCCAACAGCTTGGTTTTACTGGGGGTGGGGGGGGCGCTGTGTATTGCCCCCGCCTCGACAAAGAATCGAAGGGCAAACAGTAGTGAAGCAGAGTAAAAGTTTTATCTGAAGTTACTTAAAGAGAGAAAAAGTGCAGGTGACCTCAGAGAGAGAGAAGTGCCCTGAAAAGTTTAAGCTGTAATGAAAGAGAGTGAGTGAACCCTTGGAGAAAGGGGAGCACGAGGGACCTCAAAAGAGGCGCGCGGAAAAGCTACGATAAATTTTTAAGGCTGTGCACTTAGAAAGTGCGGGTAACCTCAGGGAGAGGAGTGCACTGAAAGAAAGGTTTAGGGTCTGGGGTTTTATAGGTGGTTGAGGATTTTCAGGAAAGTGATGCAGGGCCAGGTGCAGACCAGTCAAATTGTCCCAGAATGTTCATCTTTGACAAGACATTAAGTTTCTTCTTTTTTAACTTAACACAAGAAATATACTGCTTTGATTCCTTTCCGGGATATTAGCTTTTGTCTGGAAGCATATCAATCAAGACTGCCTGCCTTGCCTCCAAGGTAGACGGAGCCACTGTCCATTTGATTAAAATGCAATCCTAGCTTTAAGATAGAATTTTTCCTAAATTAGCTGGGCCTTTGAGCAGGCTAAAGTAAATCTTACAATGGTACGTTCTAATTGATACAGTGAAAACATAGGCTATGCTGAGATACTTTCCCTTATCTAGGGAGTATTCAGACTTCTAGGCCAAGTTGTTCTTGGCCTTTGAGTTTTTTATTTTTAACTGCTTAATTCTTTGAGTCCCTTCTAGTGGGCTTACTGGCCTTTTCTCTTTCTACCCCACTCATATCTATTTTCCTGCCTAACAGTTTTAGCCTGCTGAGACCTGTCTTGGACTTCTGATTTATAAAACTTTGAGAAATAATACATTTGTGTTGTTTAAACTGAGGAACTTGTTACAGCAGCAATAGAAAACTAATATAAATGTGATGGAAACAGCCCCCTTACTGCTTCAGAATATTCTGGTGCATAGCAACTTATGTCATAGAAAAGATTCTAGAAGAGTAGGTCACAGAGAAGGATTTATAGTTTGGAAGCTCTTTAGGGAAGGCAAGCAGGTGACTGAGCATTGGCATCTGAAAAACCCAGGGAACTGAGTGTTTGGAACTTGCATTCCTACAACAAACATCGGAACTGCTGCAGCGGCTGCTCCTCCCCTCCCCTGAGGAGGCCCCGAGGCCTGCAGAAGGACTGGTGGACTTGTAAGCCAGTGTAGGGTGGCAAGGAACCAGGACACATGTGATGATACCCAGCTGCAGAAGACACTTATCAGCAAGTTCACTTATTGCTTATTCAAGGACAGTTCTGTTGGCTCTGGGGTTAAAGTAGAGAAAAAAACAGACCAGGTTTCTGCACACCAAGAGATAAAAAAATGAACAAATACATCAACAAGGTAATTTCTAAAAATGCCATATATTATGAAGAAAAGAAAAACTATTTTTTGTTATGGGGCAGTGATCAGTGAATCCCATTTGAGGTACTAAGCTCATCTGAGCTGAGACGTTGACCAGAAGGAGCAAGCTGTTTAGTGGTTGGGTGAATCATGTTTCAAGCAGAAGGAACAGTGGGTGCAAAGGACCTGTGGTGGGAATGATATTGGTATGGTCAAAGAAAAGAAATGTGCAAAGTGAATGTGGCATTGTGAAGGTGAACAGAGAGGTGTGGAATCAGACTAGAGAGGTGTACAGGGGTTATAAAAGGTAGGGTCTTGCTGGCCAGGTTGAGGAGCTGGGATCTTACTTAAAATGCAAGGGCAATCCACTGGAGCTGGGTGATGTAACTGGATATGTGCTCTTAAAAAGCCTTTCTAGCCCTGTGGAGAATGGGCATAGTGATCAGAGACAAATATGGAGTATAGGATAATTAGAAAACCTTTGCAGAAACCAGAGATGATGGTGATCTGCACTAGGACTGTGGCAGATACGGTAAGAGGCAGAAGAACAGGGAACAGGGCTCCCGGTGAACTGGCTGCAGGGAAAGAGGGAAGGAGAGAGGAATCAGCATGCCTGTTATCAGTTGAGATGGGACTGCCCTCTGGGAGACAGATATTTCCTGAAAATATTGTTTGCTTCTTGGGAAATGTAAAAACAGACTTCTTTCACATGCACTGGAGTTCAGTTATGAAGCTCAGGACATGGAGGGCAACAGAGCTCAGAAAAACATACATCCACTGGGGATCGAGTTCCCTGCATAGTTAATTTATTTACTCCTTAAATCAACCCAATTAGGTAAGTACTATTTTCATTTCTGTCATAGATGAGGAAACTGAGGCCCCGAGAGGCTAAGTGTCTTCAATCATTCTGCGATCCCGGTTACTGAGGGATGATGCTGGATGTGGCTCAGGCGATCTGACTCCCAGGTCTGAGCACTTAGATGCTAGGCCCTCTTTGACAGTGTATTTGGTATAATGGTACGTCTGTCACTAGTCATGTGGCTTGAAATTTAAATGAATGCCTGAAAGTGCAATCATTCAAATTTAGAAATATCCTTATTTATGTCTAACTTTTGCCCTACTTAGAAATATCCTTATTTAAATTTACAAATACCCTTATTTATGTCCAACTTTTGCCCAGGTCACTGGTTCTCAACAGGGGGCAATTTTGTCCCTGAGAAACATTTGGCAATGTCTGGAGACATTTTTTGTTTGTCACAGCTGAGGCATCTGGAGGTGTGCTTCTAAACAAAATCCCTGCAGAGGAGACCCCCCAGAACAAATAATTTTCCAGCCCCAGTGCCAAGGTCAAGAACCCCTTGTGTAGGTGGAGATAGGTTGGAAGATATGCATGCAGCTATGAATGATGATAAACAGGAGGGTGTAGTGACTTGTCCCTTGATATTTATTTAGGCAGTATTAGGGGATATAGGGCATGCCAAGAAGATGTGTTGTAATTTCTAATCGTCCATTCTAGTATGAGAGAGGGAACATAGCACAGAACAAGACAGTCGCCTGTTAGGTATTCTGAAGTGGTTCTGAGGGCAAAAGGGACTCAGAGAGGGAATGTTCATGGAGGACTGCATCAGGCTTCAAGGATGTGGCATCTATGGTAGACGCCTGAAGATGCAGCAGCATGTGGGTGGGGAAGGCATGGAGGGCTCTGTGGGTTGGGAAGAACCATGCATAAAGACACCAGGGTAAGGATTAGCAGGAGCATGGGCACTGCTGTGCGGCCTGGGAGGTGTGGAGCGGCACAGAGGGAGAGTAATGTGGGAATTCAGAGTTGATTGAACTTGTTTCTACAGATGGAGGGAAGGCAGGGGAAGGCCAGATGGGGGGCTAAGAAAACGAAGCGTGGGTTTGCTATGGTAAGAAACAGGGAACTAATAGCATTCTCTAAGTGACATTTTATACCTGTTGGGGGATATTCTTCAGTTATGATAGAAAATGCCACCTAGCGCATTTGGCCTGGGCAGGTGGAGGCCAGGAGGCTGGGATATTATTCAGCTTTCAGTGATGACAGAGGTTAGGTGATGGAGGTGAGGGGGGTTTAGGTGGTGGTGATGAGGGTTTAGGTGGTGACAGCAGAAATGAAGAGGCATAAACTCAAGAGGTCATCCTGTGAGCAGCCTGCAAGCTCCCCTAACGCACCCGCATCTCCCTGGTGAGGCCGCAGAGGTCCTGTGAGGCTGGTACCCTGCCTGCCGCTGCTGACGGTGACCAGGCTCAGAGCAGCAGGCGGGGCTGAAGGAGGGCTTGTCTCCTTGTGTGACCTGTGCGGGAGGACTCAGTGAGGTTTGCTTTGTAGAAATCTGGCAACAAGATGATGTAAAGCATAAGACCGCAACTCAGAATATATCTCAGGATAAAAGGCTGTGGTGGAAATAGTTCCACATGACAGTGGTGGTTATGCTTGACTGACAGGATCAGGATGAATTTTTTTTCTTCTTTCTCTTTTTCTGTTTCCCAAAATATATTTAATGAACAAGTACTACTTTCATGATTAAGAGGGAAAGAGAATTTGAGCATCTGTATCTAATGTGAAAGAGAAATGAGAGAAAAAAACGAGAAGCTACTGGATTTTGCAGGAGGGTAAGAATAGGGGTAGGGAGACACCTTCAAGAGGGCGATGTCCTTGGAAGAGAGGAAGTCATGATGGGGAGGGAGACAGGGTGCGCAGTGACACAGAACCAGGAGCTGTCGTGGCCGAGCCGGCAGGACCCCCCTTGTGAGGAGCACACCGAAGCTCACCCCCTCCCGCCGCAGGGCCCGCGCCTTCCTTCGGAGGAGCTGGTGTGCCCAGGATCTAGGGTCGCTCCAGCTGCCCGCCACCCGCTCACGGGGGCCGCTGCTGCCCCGAGCTGCCGGCACCTGGGGAGGATGGGGGTCTCTGTGCTCCTCTTCCTCGTTGCCTGCCTGCTGGCTCCAAGTGACACTGCTGTCCTGGGGCGCTGCGTGGTGGCCAGGAAACTCCACGAAGGCGGCCTGAGCGACTTTGACGGCTACAGCCTTGAAAACTGTGAGTAAGCCCCTCTTGGCCCCCTCTGTCCTCCCCTTCTTTCCCTCCGGCCCCTGTCCGGACATCCACAACTTGAGTTCTCCCAGCACTCACCTCCTCTTCTGTCTTAAGGGTGTGCCTGGCTTATTTTGAGAGCAAGTTCAACCCCACGGCCGTCTACCAGAACTTGCATGGTGGCTACATGGGCCTCGGCCTCTTTCAGATCTACAACAATAACTGGTGTGACCGCGGCAAGAACCTGTGGCCCATGCTGTGCTCTGGTAGGTCCCCTCCCTCTGTGGGGCACTGGCACCACAGCGTCGAGCTCCGAGGTCTGCCTGCCCAAGGGCAGGATTTATGAGTTCGGGGCAGGGAGGCGGAGGTCCTGGCAGGAATTGGGCCGAGCTGAGTCAGGGGTGCAGCCGCAGGGAGGCTGAGTGCCATACTGCCAGGGCCTGTGGTGAGAAAGAGCAGCGGTGACTCAGGCACCATGGCCTGGGACAGAGCAACGGAGACCACGTCCGGGTGGGCACGGAGGGCGTTGGGATGTTGAAAGGAGGCTGCGGGCATCAGAGCCAATCCTGGTTTGAAGCGTGAGAGCAGAGGGCTCTGGATGGGCCGCCTTTGACCCACACTCGGCCACCACACCCTCCTCCAGGGTGACAGATGCTGCTACTTTTACAGACAGAAGTGTTACTGGGAGGACATAGGAGTAAGACATCACAAGAGGAGCTTTAACCAACGCTCTTAGGGGGTCCCAGGTACCTGTGATAGAGAGGAGGCAGTTGCCCAGGGTTCATTCCTTCCATGAACATTTACTGAACCCCCGGGAAGTGCCAGCCTCATGGAGTTGACATTCCAGCACTTGCTAACTGCCAGGTACTCCCCTGGTCTTCACAACGACTCCCCAACATGGGCACTGTTATTATACCCATTCTATAAATGGTGAAAGTGAGGCCCAGAGAGGCCACCCAGCTGGTAGGTGGTAGAACTGGCAAGAAACTAAGAGAAATCCTTAGAGGCTAAAAAGAGGGGCAGGACAAATAGGTGAACAGTTAAGCCAGTGATGACTCTAGGGCGTCTGATTCCCTGTGACTTCACGCCCGTGTTTAAGGTCACTGTGCAGCCTGGGCCTGGGCAAGGTGACGAGGTGCACTGGGACCTCCACAGAAAGCTGGGACCCCAGAGAGCTACCCTGTCAGCTGAAGGTGTGAACTGGACACCCCAAAGTGGTGACATTCTAAGTAAACTGGGTGAAACAGTGCTCTCTGGGACTTGGTAACCACAAGCCACAGGACCCCCAAGGAAGCGAGGAGCCATCCAGAAGTACTGGACCGTGTGCTGAGTCCCGCGGACAGTTCAGAGGATTACATACTTTCCTTGTCAGGCAGGGTGGGGGACAGAAAGAGGACAGGATTTGAGGCCAGACAGAATCTTGGCTCCATTTCTTACTAGTTACGTGATTTCAGCTTCAGTTTTCTCATCTGTAAAACAGAGAAGATAGTAGTACTTACCTCACAAAGTTCTTGTGCATTTTCAATACACTGTCATGTTTGTGAAATGCTGAGCACAGTGTCTGATAGACTGCCTGATGCCTGATGAATACAACTTTACTTCCTTTAAGGAATGTACAAGGTAGTTGGGGGTTAGGATATATGGATTGTACTGTTTGGATAAGCAGATCCAGGTTGGGAATGAGTGTGAATGAAGTCTGGGAAAAAGAATTGTATATGATGCTCAAGCTGTGGATATCAGTGAGGGAGCTCCCACTATCAGGGTGGGAATCATCTCCTGCCCTTGACATGTCTTGAATGGTGGGGTCATGGAGGAAGGCAGTGGAAGTTAGGTTGTAGAAGTGGGCAGGTATGTTGGGGCAAAGTTGGCTACACAAAGGATTTGGGGTTCTGTTTTATAGGCAACTAGGGGGCACTGAAATAATGTTTTAAGGAAAAGCAATCAGATTAGATTAGGGAAGGGGAAGACTGTAGCATAGGCAGGAAGGAGGGTATTGAAGTAGTCCTAAGCAGGAGGGCCTGGTTTCCACAATCCCAGGAGGGAAAGGATGGGTGAATACAGACATGTTGTTCTTCAGAGGCACCTCTGGACCCTCTCACCTGCTGGTCCTCCTGCCTAGAACAATCTTCCTTCTGTGACTCCCTCAGCTCGCTTTCCTTTCCTACTCCTTTAGATGTCTCTTGGCCAAATAACCTTTCCTTGACCTTTTCAAGTCTGAATTCAAGTCCCATGTCAAGGTGCACTTCCCCATCTTTCCAGGTATCCTTTGTTTTATAATTAGTTGTCTATAACCCTTACCTACCTGCTTCCAGACTACAGGTTCCATGAAGGCAGGGATGGATTTATTGTGTTTGTCATTTTATCTCCACTGCTGCTTACATTGCCTAGCACAGAATATTCACTATAATACATATTTTTAATGAAAAGATTATTATAATGATTACAAGAAAAAATCAATAGATTTAGTAAAAGATGACTACATGATGCTACCTCCCAGTGTTGTCTGAAGAAAAATCTAGGGGTAGATTTATTCTTGGAATCACACGTAAGCCTCTCTAATGTGGGTACCCTGTGCCTTCCCTGATATCACTCTGACTTAATCTGCCAAGTAGTGTTATCATATCATTCCACTTAATTTTCTCCACAGCTTTACTGAACCCAAATTTAAAGAAGACAATTGAATGTGCCAAGAAAATTATAAAAGGAAAAGAAGGGATGGGAGCATAGTAAGTGATACATCATTAAATAGCCCATATTAATGACTTTTACCCAGTATCTTTAATCTTAATTTTGGCTTACTAGTAGGATCCTGCTCACCTAGTTAAGCAGTAGAACACCATTAAGTTCTGCAACCCCAAGGCCTCAAAGGAAAGAAATAATTATCAGACAAATTGCCTTAAGTTGACCATTATTTTTCCCTCAAATTTTGTTTAGAGTTGTACAGGGTGCTAGTTTGAGCACCCTTGAAATAAATCCCTGTGTGTATGTCTGAAAATTTGTCTCACATAAATTACCATAAGAGTTTTTGAATACTATTAAGGTTCTTTCATGCTGTGAAATTGCTCTCCAACAAACTTTTATCAATTCATTCTAATATTTTATGGTATCATGACTTATATTCAGGTCTTTGATCCATTTTGAGTTTACTTTCATGTATGGGGTTAGACAATGATCCAGTTTCATTTACTTACATGTAGCTGTCCAGTTTTGCCAACACCAGTTGTCGAAGAGGCTGTCATTTCCACAGTGTATGTCCAGGGCTCCTTTATCATATATTAATTGACCATATATGGTTGGGTTTATATCAGAGCTCTTTATTCTGTTCCACTGATCTATTGGTCTGTTCTTATGCCAGTACCAAATTGTCTTGATTACTGTGGCTTTGTAGTAGAGCTTGAAGTTGGGGAGCATAATCCCCCCAGCTTGATTGTTCCTTCTCAGGATTGCTTTTGCTATGCGGAGTCTTTTGTGGTTCCATATGAATTTTAGAACTATTAACTCAAATTCATTGAAGAATGCTGAATGTATTTTGATAGGGATTGCATTGAATCTGTAGACTGCTTTAGGCAGGATGGCCATTTTGACAATATAATTCTTCCTATCCAAGATCATGGGATGAATTTCCATTTATTGGTGTCCTCTTTAATTTCTCGTAAGAGTGTCTTGTGGTTTTCAGAGTATAGGTCTTTCACTTCCTTGGTTAGGTTTATTCCTAGGTATTTTATTCTTTTTGATGCAATTGTGAATGGAATTGTTTTCCTGATTTCTCTTTCTGCTAGTTCATCATTAGTGTATAGGAACACAACAGATTTCTGTGTATTAATTTTGTATCCTGCAACTTTGCTGAATTCAGATATTAGATCTAGTAGTTTTGGAGTGGATTCTTTAGGGTTTTTTATGTACAATATCATGTCATCTGCAAATAGTGAAAGTTTGACTTCTTCCTTGCCAATCTGGATGCCTTTTAATTCTTCATGTTGTCTGATTGCTGTGGCTAGGACTTCCAGAACTATGTTGAACAAAAGTGGGGAGAGTGGGCATCCTTGTCTTGTTCTCAATCTTAAAGGAAAATCTTTCAGCTTCTCGCTGTTAAGTATGATGTTGGCTGTGGGTTTGTCATATATGGCCTTTATTATGTTGAGGTACTTGCCCTCTATACCCATTTGTTGAGAGTTTTTATCATGAATGGACACTGAATTTTGTTGAATGCTTTTTCAGCATCTATGGAGATGATCATGTGATTTCTGTCCTTCTTTTTGTTGATGTAGTGGATGATGTTAATGGATTTTGAATGTTGTACCATCCTTACATCCCTGGGATGAATCCCACTTGATCATGATGGATAATATTTTTGACGTATTTTTGAATTTGCTTTGCTAATATTTTGTTGAGTATTTTTGCATCTATGTTCATAAGGGATATTGGTCTGTAATTTTCATTTTTTGTGGTGTGTTTGCCTGGTTTTGTTATTAGAGTGATGCTGGCCTTGTAGAATGAGTTTGGCAGTATTCCCTCCTCTTCTACTTTTTGGAAAACTTTAAGGAGGATGGGTATTAGGTCTTCACTAAATGTTTGATAAAATTCAGCAGTGAAAGTATCTGGTCCAGGAGTTTTGACCTTTGGTAGGTTTTTGATTACCAATTCAATTTTTTTCCTGGTAAGTGGTCTATTCAGATTTTCTGTTTCTTCCAGGGTCAGCCTTGGAAGGTTGTATTTTCCTAGAAAGTTGTCCATTTTTTCTAGGTTATCCTGTTTGTTACCATAAAATTTTTCATAGTATTCTCTCGTAATTCTTTGTATTTCTGTGGTGTCTGTAATGATTTTTCCTTTCTCATTTCTGATTCTGTTTATGTGAGTAGACTCTCTCTTTTTCTTGAATAGGTCTGGCTAGGGGTTTATCTATTTTGTTTATTTTCTTGAAGAACCAGCTCCTGCTTTCATTGTTTCTTTCTATTGTTTTATTCTACTCAATTTTATTTATTTCTGCTTTAATCTTTATTATGTCCCTCCTTCTACTGACTTTGGGCCTCATTTGTTCTTCCTTTTATAGTTTCATTAATTGTGAGTTTAGACTGTTCATTTTGGATTGTTCTTTCCTGAGGTAGGCCTGTATTGCAATGTATTTCCCTCTTAGCACAGCCTTTGCTGCATCCCACCAATTTTGTGCTGTTGATTTATTGTCATCATTTGTTTCCATATATTGCTTTATCTCTGTTTTTATTTGGTCATTGATCCATTGATTATTTAGGAGCATGTCATTAAGTCTCCATGTGTTTGTGGGCTTTTTCATTTTCTTTGTGTGATTTATTTCTAATTTCATACCTTTATGATCTAAGAAGCTGGTTGATACAATTTCAATCTTTTTGAATTTACTGAGGCTCTTTTTGTGGCCTAGTTTGTGATCTATTCTTGAAAATGTTCCATGTGCACTTGAGAAAAATGTGTATCCTGTTGCTTTTGGGTGGAGTGTTCTGTAGATGTCCATTAGGTCCATCTGTTCTAATGTGTTGTTCAGTGCCACTGTCTCCTTACTTAGTTTCTGTGTGGTTGATCTGTCCTTTGGAGTGAGTGGGGTGTTGAAGTCTCCTAAAATGAATGCATTGCATTGTTTTTCCCCCTTTAGTTCTCTTAGTATTTTTTTCACATATGTAGGTGATCCTGTGTTGGGTGCATGGGTATTGTTTTTTAATCCGTTCTGTAACTCTGTGCCTTTTGATTGGTGCTTTCATTCCATTTACATTAAGGGTGGTTATCGATAGGTATGTACATATTGTCACTGCAGGATTTAGATTTGTGGTTACCAAAAGTTCGAGAGTAGTTTCTTTACTATCTAATAGTCTAACTTAACTAACTTGGTATGCTATTTCAAACATAATATAAAGGTTCTTTTTTCCTCCCTTCTTTTTATTCCTCCTCTACTCTTTATATATGTGGTGTCATATTCTGTACTCTCTGTGTATCCGTTGAATGACTTTGTGAGAAATGATTTAATTTTACATTTGCTTACTAATTAATTGGTCTCCTTCCTTTAATGTGGTTTTATTTTCTCTGGTGACAGCTATTTTGCCTTAGAAGCACTTCCATCTATAACAGTCTCTCCAAAATACACTGTTGAGATGGTTTGTGGAATGCAAATTTCCTCAACTTTTGCTTATCTGGAAATTGTTTAATCCCTCCTTAAAATTTAAATGACCTGTAGAGTATTCTTGGTTCAAGGTCCTTCTGTTCCATTGCATTAATATATCATGCCACTCCGTTCTGGCCTATAAGGTTTCTGCTGAGAAGTCTGATGGTAGCCTGATGGGTTTTCCTTTGTATGTGATTTTTTTCTCTCTCTCTTGCTGCTTTTACTACTCTATCCTATCCTTGATCTTGGCTATTTTAATTATTATATGTCTTAGTGTCGTCTTCCTTGGGTCCCTTATGTTGGGAGATCTGTGCACTTCCATGGCCTGAGAGACTATTTCCTTCCCCAGATTCGGAAGTTTTCAGCAGTTATTTCCTCAGAGACTTTCTATCCCCTTTTCTGTCTCTTTTTCTTCTGGTACTCATATAGTGTGAATATTTTTCTGTTTGTATTGTTCACACAGCTCTATTATTATTTGTTCATTTCTAGAAATCCTTTTATCTCTCTGTTCCTCAGCTTCTTTGTATTCTTGTTCTCTGGTTCCTATTTCATTTACTGTCTCCTCTACATCATCTAATCTGCTTTAAAATCCCTCCATTGTATGTTTCATTTCAGATACTTTACTTTTCAAAGTGTCTATCTCTTTCTTGAAGTCCTCCCTGTGATACTGAATATTTTTCTGTAGCTTGTGAGCATGTTTATGATTTTTATTTTGAAGTCTTTATCAGAGAGGTTGGTGATTTCAGTTTCACTTAGCCCTGTTTCTGGTGTTTGTGGGATTTTGATTTGTACCAGGTTCTCTTGCAGTTTCATATTTGTAATGATTACTATGGAATTATAACTTTGTGTAGGTGACACCCTCTAGTGCCCAGAAGCCTCTACTGTCTGGAGCTGCCCAGCACCTGGAGCACTGGCAGAGGTCGCAGGCAAGCAGTGTCAGTGCCTGCCAGGAAGAAAGAGCTCTTTCTTGCTTTCTGGCTCTTGAGCCTGCCTTCACTGCTAGGGCCAATGGGTCAAGCATGCAGGGATGGGCCTCTTTATTATGCCCCTGTAGCTGTCATAGGTGGGGCTGCCCCCTGACTGGCTGGCACTATGGCAGGGCAGCAGGTTTTGTGAGCAGGTGGTGGCTGAGAGGAAGGAACGGCAGGCTGTGTACCATGGGGGGATAGCTTGGCACATGTCACCAGCCCGGAAGATGGAGTTTCTGAAGCTCCCGAGAGTTTCCAATCTGCTGGCGTGAGTGTGCTGGGATGATTTTGTCCACCTGTCCTTTCTCCTGAGCAGCAAGATCTGTGTAATCCTTGCCCCTTTAGTAACTCTCTTGCTGTTGGGAAGTCTTTCAACGTGCCTGCCTTTCTTTTGTCCTGGAGTGGCCAGTTGTGAGTACCTGTTCTCCACAAGTGGCTGGAATCTCAGTCTCTCTCAGTATTGCAGACATCTTTGCTTCCAACCTCACTGTTCTCCAGAGCACCATGTAATGTAGGTTCATGCTCCCAGAGCAGATCTCCAGGGCTAGGTGTTCAGCAGTCCTAGGCTTCTACCTCCTCCCTGATCCATTTCTTTTCTTCCTACTGGTGAGCTGGGGTGGGGAGAAGGCTTG